CTCACCAGTTTGCATTTCCTTAAGACTGGGGAGGCTGTAATTGAAAGGGCTGGCTCAGCCCCTGATTATAAATTTGAAATGGAAATTAAATTTTTTTAACATTTCTGATCTGTTTTTCACTCTGAAATATCTGAGAGAGAAGACAATGCAGACGGAGTTGTTTCATGCTCCTACAGCACTATGTGGCAGCTTCTTTTCTCTCTGTACGCTCCCTCAGCCTAGCTGCATGTATGCAGTTAATTGAAAGGGCTGGCTCAGCCCCTGATTATAAATTTGAAATGGAAATTAAATTTTTTTAACATTTCTGATCTGTTTTTCACTCTGAAATATCTGAGAGAGAAGACAATGCAGACGGAGTTGTTTCATGCTCCTACAGCACTATGTGGCAGCTTCTTTTCTCTCTGTACGCTCCCTCAGCCTAGCTGCATGTATGCAGTGTTACAGCTCTCAGTTCAAACGCTGGCGGTGGGAGCGAAGGGTCAGGGGCGTTTCCCCGCTTTTGTGCGTAGCACTAAGAACATTTCAGGTGCTGATGGGCAGAGGTGTCCATCTCTCCCATGTTGTCTCCCGTCGGCTGAGCTTGAGGTGGAGGCCTCTGAGTACAATTGAATACAGTTATCTCAAACTTGCTTTAACAGTCCCTCAGGGGACACCTTTCACATAGCCAGCTCTTTGTTGATGGCATGCGTATGTACTCTGGTTTAGTCAAAGTGTCATGGGGCTGCTAAGAGGGGATGGTTGTGCTCTGTCCATTTGCCATTTCTCTCTTCCTGCGTGTGACCTCCAAGGCCAGGGAACCCACTCTTCAGAGGCGGTAGAGGAGAGCTGGGTTGAATTGGTTATGTTCTTTCAGTTTGTTACCAGCATCTTAAAACCATTGGGATGATGAAAAGTTTGTGGGGACCTTTTGTGTGTTGGGACTGGGCACTATGTGATACTGTATACTTGACGGTATGTCGTATGTGCTGCGTCTCGCTATTGCCCCGTGCATACTGAAAGGGGAATTTTGAAGTTCTTAAGGCAACCTGGAACATTGAAGCTGGCTGTCTTGGGTCATTTGAGAACATGTAATGCCTCTCAGTGGTTCTGATTCAGGTCTTTGCTTTTTTTTTTCTGAACAGTGCTTCACCGATCACATACAGAAGGAACTGAACCTGTTTCCACCTGACAAAAGGAAAGATGTTGTCATCCTCTTCTCGGCTCACTCGCTACCCATGTCTGTGAGTTACATCAGGTCATTTCTGTCATTGTTAGACCAGAGTCACGCTGGCTGGGCTGAATGGAAGGGTGTGCGGGGTAGCGGTAGGGCCGCAGTTGTGGAAGTGCCAGGCAAATACAGAGAAAGAGAACTGTGAAGGTGAGTTAGTGAGTTGTGGGTGGAAGCCTCACCTGGAGCTGAAGACGAGGCACGGGAGCTGTGGTTACTCTCCTGCGCGCTTGCTCAGCTCTGCGCTGTTGGCCACCATTGAAGGTGGGGCGCTGGGTTAGGTCAAACTGAGTATGGCTGCTTTTGTGGCCTCACGAACTTGCCGGCTCAAACCCAGATAGTAATAGAGGGGAAAATTTGGTATTTTCTCACCTCTAGAAAGCAGTGATAACGCTTTCCATGAAGTACTGAAAGTAAAATCTTTGCAAGGTTGCGATAAATGATCTTGATCTTCTGTCAGCAACCAGCAACTGCAGTGAAATGGCTCTCAGATAGTTTTTCAAAAATGCAGTGCTGTTACTGAAATTTGACCTTATCTACTTTGATGATAGAAGAATTTCTCTTTTATCATGGGAAGGAGGAGGAGTAGATGTTCTGGTAAAGCAGCTTCCTCATGAGTTTTCCTGGGCAAGAATGCAGTTTTTCTTCCCTGTTTTGGGTGAGCCAGGCACTTGATGGGTGCAGCCACATCGGGCGCAGCGTGCTCACCTTCCCCAGCCTTTAGGTGGTCTTTGCCCAAACATGTTCACTGGAAGAAAAAGGTCTGGTGTTTCTGTGTCAAAGGTGGTGAACCGTGGTGATCCATATCCTCAGGAAGTGGGAGCTACTGTCCAGAGAGTCATGGAGAAGCTGAACTACTCCAACCCTTACAGACTTGTGTGGCAGTCCAAGGTATGTGCTCAGGGAAGCAGTAAAGCCACCTGCCGCTGTAAAGCTCTTCCAACAATGGAATTTATGATCTTCCAGTTTAAGAAGATCATAACTTCAGTGCCTTTTTCCCATTTTCAGCAAGTATATCTGCTAGAACAGAATCCCCATCTTTTACTAAAGTTCAGTCTTTCCAGATACTCTATCCACAGTTTCTTGCCTTTTTTGTATATTGCATCTTTTTAAAGTAGATTTTTGATGTGTCCGTTAGAAGACCTATGATCTCATAATATCTAGCTTGGCATTTATCTTTCTCTGTCAGAAGGAAGAATTGTGTGCTCACTGGATTTTTAAGGTGTTGCTTTTTGAGGATCGCTGAGCAATTTTTCTGAAATCATCACTGTGATACAGGCATTCTTAATAAGGATATGGGCCTAATCCAAACAGGTTTCATTCTTCTTGAAGAAGATGTCTTGCATTACTTTGTACTTACTATTACAAATAGCAAGGAACAGAAGTTTTACCAGAATTATGTAGTGCAAGTAACCTTATGTCTCAGGGGCATTACACCTATTATGCCCTTTTTGCCTCGTTCTTAAAGTTGCATGTTATGGTAAATCAGCACCGAATACTCCATGGATAGTAGAGAGGTAAGGACAGATGACTACAGAATGCTTACTTCTTTAAAAGGCAGGTAAACCCTGTGCAGTAGTGGTCAGGGTTTTATTGAACTGAAAACAGTAGACCTTTATTTAAATTTTAATTTATTTGCGATCTCCTCTCTTTTAATGAGAGTCTTTTAATGAGAGTCTCATTTAGGCCAGCCCAGGTTCTGTTTCTTTGGGATTTAAATGGCAGGACAGTATGTCCTTATAAAAAATTTAATGGAGAAAGAAAAACATGGAGAAAATGGAGAAATTTAATGGAGGAAAAAAAAAGGGGAAATGCAGGTAACTGGCTCCATCTTAAACATAATCTTGTCTGTGTTGTCCTGCTTAAGAAAATGTGGTTGTTCTTTGTAAGAATGATTTAATGAGATTTTTTTTTGGTTTTGTGTTTTTCTGTTTCCCTCCCTCTTTTCTTGCAGGTTGGACCAATGCCTTGGCTTGGCCCACAGACAGATGAGACCATTAAAGGACTGTGCCAAAGAGGGACGAAGAACATGTTGTTGGTCCCGATAGCATTTACAAGTGACCACATTGAAACACTTTATGAACTGGATATTGAGTATGCCCAGGTTTTAGCGAATGAGGTAAATGTTTTATAGTCTTTATAACTGTTTGGATAGTGGTGCTCTGAAATTATTCTTCCTGTTTTGAAATTTGCTTTGTGGTTGCTTTTTTGCAGTATGATTTGGGGAAAATTTAATTTTTATGTAAATTGAAAATTAACCTGAACTGGCTTAACTCAAGTGAATTTTTAGCAACACAAAACAGGTGGGAATTTGACTTTGTAGATTTAACTCTTTAAGCCACTACTATCCTGACTAAAAAGAATCATTGATTTTTGGCAGCAAACTGAAATTTTGCATTGTGGTTATTTTTGCTGTATTGAAAAACATGGTATTGCATTTAATTCTGTCATTTTGGGGGAACTTCTGAATGAAGTAGAAAGGAAGATTTTTGAAGGCTAACAAGTGAAGGATCTAGCAGACTTAACTTTTCTCCTTATTTTTGATTCAGTGTGGAGTTGAAAATATCAGAAGAGCAGAGTCTCTTAATGGAAATCCACTGTTCTCCAAGGTATCTTCTTTGTTGCAGTAGTTGTAAAAGTTTGCAGTTGTGTGTTTCCTGCTAGATTATGGGTGTCTTCTTGTAGTTTTAAAGTATTTGGAGATTAAGAGCGAAAATGGAAACCCCTCTACTTAATCTGTGTGCCACAAAGTGGTTTTTTTTTTACCACAGTTGGCGTTCAGAAGTTTGGTTTGACAAAAAAGAAAAACAGCTTTGTATTCATTTGTAGTAATCTTTTAATGAAATATTTCTCTTACGATATTATGCCAATGCAGTGTTAAAGCAGGATTTTCCCTTGAGGTAAAGGGGGGTGGCGCTTGAAAAGCGTAGTCTGGTGGACACACAATTTGGCAATCTCACTAGTCAGTGTGACACGTGTTAAAGCATTTTTTTTATTTTGTGCAGATAGATTTGTGCACTTCTGATTTTTAACTAACTGTCTTTCAGGCTCTGGCAGACCTGGTCTGTTCGCATATCCAGTCGAATGAAATCTGCTCTAGGCAGTTACCCCTCTGCTGCCCGCTCTGTGTAAATCCCGTCTGCAGGGAGACAAAAGCCTTCTTCACTAGTCAAAAGCTGTGATGGGCAGTCTAGGAGAGCACCGCTGGACTACACAGGAAAATTGCCCTGGTGAAGCAGTGCAAAGGAAAGAAACCGCTTGACCAAGCTCTCCTCATACTTACAGGCTGGTAGTCTCACTGATGTTAACTTCATGTAACAGTGAAGAGAACTTGACTTTTTTTGTTTTATTTCTTCTTATGTTTTCTTTGTTTGAGAAGGGTTTGTAGAAGGTAGGGAGGAAAGGGCGTTTATCCTGTGAGATGTGAAAAGATCTCATTTCATCTGATTCTGATTGGACTTAGCATGAGCCCAGAAGTATGCACTGAAAAACTTCAAAAACTTTTCTACAAATTAGTTTCGATTTCCTATGCAGGGATTTATTTGTATGCAGTTTTGTCATGAGTGCATTAATTTCAGCTTTCCAGGTGAGGCATACAGTTATTTGTTTTGTTTATGCTTAAGGTACAGTATAACCAGCATGGTCACGGATTGTCTCTTCTGAGAGTGATTTTTTAGATGGGTTTGAAGATCAAGTGACTTCTAATGCTTTTTAAATAATGTGTATATTTTTTTTAGAACATAAAGGTAAGGGTTTGGTTTGGTTTGTTGTTTTTTTTTTTTTTTTTCTCCTGCCAGAAACTTCTGGTGAAAGCTTGGCTGGGATAGTGGAATGCACGAGATTTGTTTACATTTTTTAGCAAAACCACTCTCATTATCTGCGGGAAAGCCTCTGCATTTGAAGAGCATAAAATGAAAGGAATAAGCCTGCTTGAGTGATGCTGAAGAACATGCTCGGTTGAAACAAACTGTGTATGTTTCAAATCTAGCAGCTATCAGCAGCATGTTGGTTTATAGAATCATAGAATCATTTAGGTT